CCCTTCTACTGATGCATCTCTAATCAATCTAATGTTTTACAGTCATTGACCGTTTCCTCTCCATTATACTCTATTCTGCTTTACAGTGTTTTCACAAATGGCAAATTTCTCTGTATCTCTCTCACACACACACATGCGTGTGCACACACTTTGAACATAGTGGTGGTTATTATCTATAAATCACTTATGTAAAAATAATTCATTACATTTGGTTATCCATATCGGAAATTGCAAACAAGTTATAGAAACTGTATATAGAATCAATATCTATAGAAATCTATAGGTGTACCAAATGATTCATTGATTAACCATTAAGATCAGTTGGATTAAATAATAGACAAATGTATTAAACTGAACAAAAAGAGATGCAAATCAAAAGTTTGATAATAAGAGCTTTATGAAAGCCAGTTACTGTGAATGAAACAGTTATAGATGAAACACTTATTTTGTATTGTGAAAAGGATACTTTGTGATTTTGTGAATTGTACTAACACAATTAAAAATATGATGAAATGTTTGAAAAAAGTGCACTTTTGATGATCTGTTGTGATATTAGCAATAAGAGTTTTGAAAATGTACACCGTACTTCTGAAAATAGTACCAAAGCGAATAAAAAAAACTGTAATGTATGACTGGCAAATATACATCACATTAAGATTATTAGTTTGTTTACAGTCTCATTCAAATGGAGAGTGTATACCAAGTCTTCTGCAGCAATATTATATGGCTGAAATTTAAGTCATTATTCAATATTCGCCATATAGCCATGACTGAAGAAAGAGTGTTCTGAAGGACAGAGCCGTGTGTGACGAACCGCTCATTAAAAAGCGGTGAGTGTGTGTGTGTGTGTGTGTGTGTGTGTGTGTGAGTGAGTGAGTGAGTGAGTGAGTGAGTGAGTGAGTGAGTGAGTGAGTGAGTGAGTGAGTGAGTGAGTGAGTGAGTGAGTGAGTGAGTGAGTGCCTGCGTGGTTGTGAGTGAGTGTGTGAGTGTGTGTGTGTGTGTGTGTGTGTGTGTGTGTGTGTGTGTGTGTGTGTGTGTGTGTGTGTGTGTGTGTGTGTGTGTGTGTGTGTGTGTGTGTGTGTGTGTGTGTGTGTGAGTGAGTGAGTGAGTGAGTGAGTGAGTGAGTGAGTGAGTGAGTGAGTGAGTGAGTGAGTGAGTGCCTGCGTGGTTGTGAGTGAGTGAGTGTGTGAGTGTGTGTGTGTGTGTGTGTGTGTGTGTGTGTGAGAGTGAGTAACTGAGTGTGTAACTGAGTGTGTGTGTGTGTGTGTGTGTGTGTGTGTGTGTGTGTGTGTGTGTGTGTGTGTGTGTGTGTGTGTGTGTGTGTGAGTGAGTGAGTAATTGAGTGTGTGAGTGAGTGTGTGTGTGTGTGTGTGTGTGTGTGTGTGTGTGTGTGTGTGTGTGTGTGTGTGTGTGTGTGTGTGTGTGTGTGTGTGTGTGTGTGTGTGTGTGTGTGTGTGTGTGTGTGTGTGTGTGTGTGTGTGTGTGTGTGTTTAAATGCTTCAAAAAGGGAAATTAAACACCATAAAACAAATCCACATGACTAGAATGCTATGTCACTCAAAAAACAAAAATTAGACCTGCATTAAAGGTTTATGTATTTGAATTGCATATTTCCATCCATTTGGATGACATAGTTTTAACATAAACAAATTAATAAACTTAATGTGATGCATATAAATTTCTTTTAAATTGTAATCTTATTTCACAATAATTACGGTTTGCATTTTAATCAAATAATGCAGCCTGGGTGTGCATAAAAGACTTCTTTTTAAAAACATTAAAATTATTACAAACCGTTAGTGTACATCTACGCTACCTTCAAAAACTGAGCAGATGAAGACATGATCTCAGTGGACAGAACATTACTAGCTTCAGAACTGCTTGTATTTTTCAGACTAGGACTGTGGCGAGCTCTCTTAAGGGAGCGCTGTTCCAGGTTGAACACCGATAAAACACAAAAGTTGCAATGGGACGTCTATTATCGTCCTCTGCGGCTGCTTATCTGTCTGAATGTGTGACTTTGGGTCAATGCAATCAGTTCTGGGGGAATGGAAGTGAGCCTAAATTTAACAGCTTTTGTTTACCTTATCTCTCACCGGCGCCACCGACCAGAATGACCGAAATGTAGAGTTTCTCTTCTCTTAATCAGTGACCCGGCCATTTGTGTAGGTTCTGTTCAATGTGATTTTTACTGGCAATGCATCCACGAAAAGGACATTTGGATTCGGTAGTAGTTCAACTGAACAACAGTCTGACTTGAGAATGACTATAAAAACACTAAGTAGAGAGACATGTCGAAGACAACCACATTCTATGGATTACAGGATTAGTGAGTCGACTAGTCACTCAACAAACATTAGTTTAGATTCAGTTGAACTTGAAAGCAGATTTTCATTAAGGAACGATTAGTCAAGTAGTCATATAGATTATTGTAGATTACAAATGAAAATATTTTGTACTTAACATTTAGTTATGTAAATGCACAGTATTACATATCTCTATAAGGAAAATCAAAAATACACTCTTCAATAAGGTCTCATTTGTTATCACTAGTTAATGCATTAACTAACATGAAGAAACAATGAGCAATATATTTTTACAGCATTTATCAATCTTCGCTAATGTTAGGTAATAAAAATGTTCATGTTCACAGTGCATTAACTGATGTTAACAGATACAACATTTGATCTTAAAATTGTATTAGTAAATGTTGAAATGAACATGATTAATAAATTAGGTAAAAAGTATTGTACATTGTAAGTTCATGTTAATTGACTAATGTTACAAATGATACTTTATTCTGTAGTTTTACCAAATCTTTTTTTTTTTTCTCTATCCATGTGATTATCAATTACTGAATCAGCTTTTACATTTGGTTTCCACCTTGTTCATTTTACTGAGATTTGGACCCCAAATTCTGAATAATTCAATTATTTTGGTCAAATTGCTTTTTGGATGCACCTTATGTAGCCTATTTCAGCTGGGAAATACAGTGTGCTAGGTCTCTCTGACCCCTACAAAGGTCAAACCAAACAGCTTAAAATTATTTCAATTTTCACAAAGATAATGCGGATTATCATCTATGATTGCGAAGATTTTTTTCTGTTCACTCTCTAAAAGTTCGCAACACTTACAAAAAAAGTAGGCTAATAATAAAAATATGGTAGTAGTACCATGGTCATAGTGTTACGGTTACCATACGATGCCATCACTGTACCATAGTAGGCCTATCACCACAGTACTTTTTTGTAAGAGAAATACACATTATCTGAATAAGGTCTAAAATATTGGAACGTGACCATGACCTTTTAAAGTTTCAGTGAAAGGATCAACAGTGTGAGAACAATGTTATGATTATTCAAAGTACAAGTTTTACTACATAATGAGGCCTGCATGTTCTGTTGAATAAATCGATGCCATTCAAAAACAAAGCGATTTCTAAAGCGCATCATTATCGAATCTGATCAAAGCTATACGTTCATTATGATTCATGCTGTAAGTTTTACTGAGTTAACTGAGTGTTTCTTGCCCATGCAATTAGAATTAAACAAGTCTTTCATGCTTGTTGTCTTCACACAATATTTGAAGTGTTTTGAAAGGGAGTTTTTTTTTTTTACCACAGCTCACAGTACACTTGACAGTGTGCTTCTACTGTCCTCTAGTGGCCCTATAGAGTGTGTGATTCCACACAGTGTGTTGCTTTTCTCTTACAGTGACATTGTGGACAGCACGTCCAACAAAACAACCGCAATCTTACCTTTATGCCAAGCTTGCAGGGCTGAAATGTATTTATTTTCCTCAAACATTGTATTTTTTAGTTATTATTCATCAGTTTTCTGCAATTAGTTATCTTTCCTTTGCAGGTGTAGTTTGTTCAGGATCTATCAAAGCCCTCATTTAATTATTTTTAAATAGCCAATAGCCTTTAAGCTTCATCACAGCCTGAACTATGATTGGCTGGTCAGATCAGATGGTGGCCTATTAGGGGGCGGAGCAGGCACGAATTAGAGAGCGTTTTATTGGACCAAATTTACATGTAAATTTAAATTTGCAATGTTTGTTTTTCTCAGAAAACAAAGACTGTATATTTTAAATGCATACATCTGGTAAAAGTTGACTTTGTTCATTTTAAATGCATATATTTGACATGGACAAGCCACAAAACTTTATTTTGATTTAATGGGTTTCACTGATTTACATTGTCAGCAAGTTCTGGATTCAAATCTAACCAACAACAATGATGTTGTTATGCTAAACTGTGATATTTTTTGCAATTATTTGCATCCTAAATTGTGATTAGTCTTTTCGTTTCTTGCATGCATTTATTCATCTATAGCCGCTTTTACACTAAAATGATGGTGTCAAGCACAGCTGATCTAAAATAAGATGCTCGCCAAGTGTAAAGAGCAACAAAGCGGCATTTCTTCTACATATAACCGAGTCAAGAACTACAGACAAAAAATAAAACCTTATTTAACTCTTCTGCCTTAAAGACACTGGTATTTCCATCAGGAAATGGCTTTTCTGTTTGAGTATTTTAAATTACATATGTAAATTCAATAATTCTTAACCACGCGTGCATAACTATTTAAATAACAGACTTTAGGAAATAAATCATATAAAATATGCAATCGTAAAAGAAAACAAGAAAAAATGTATGTGACATAATTTGTCAAAATAGTTTATTCCATATAGATTTCAATGATTTATTTGATTTGTGAAGCTGTTTAAGATTGAATTTGAATAATATTAATAGATATTTGCATTCTCAGGCTTTTCCATATGATTGTAGTAAACATTCAACCAACAAACACTCAAAATAAACTGCATCTTGATATTTACAAACTCATCTTGTTTTATAACATTTAGCTAGCAAGTATGAAAGCACATAGTCATTTGGCATACACTTCATCAAGTACATTTGTGACAGTCATCCTGAAAAGTCAAGTGCACAGGGGTGATGGGTTGTATTTGTTAACCCAGCCAACTTCAGGTGAGTCTTCTAGTCTAATTTTCTGTTATGTAAAAGTCTCTACTACAGGCACTGGTTTCTGACATTGTTCTCCTTCCCAGCCTGGGAAACACTGGCACCTAAAAGTGTCTGTGAATCCTCTGGTTTGATCTTCAGCCGTCCTCAGCCTCCTGTGAGCTACATAAGACGGACCCGCTGTAACTGGCCCAGGCAGCTCGGCTCGGGGAACGATGGACCATGAGGCTGGGTCCAGATGCAGGAAGGCTGAGGCGCTCGGGTCTCGTCTGACACACCGGCCCTGGGACGAGCACACGGTCCTGCTGCAGAGAAACGCTGCCTCTGTCACGTTCACGATGTAGCGGCCAAGAGTGTTGTCCAGGTACTCCCGCACCGCTACACAGGCTTTCTGCACAGAGAGGATATGATCATTGGTTATGTTTACGTGTGTGCATGTATGTGAGTTTATACACTCTTAAAATTAAAGGTTCTCTGTTGCCATTGATGATTCCATAAAGAACCTATCAAATGCACAAAAGATTCACAAAAGTAGAAAAAGGTTCTTCAGATTATTCAAATGTTCTTCACACTAAGACAAAATGATTCTTTTAAGAACTGTTCACTGAAAGGTTCTTTTGGGAACCAAAAATGGTTCTTCTAAGGCATCGCTGTGAAACCCCTTTTTGGAAACCTTATTTTTGAGAGTGCACTGTGGCTATGAGCTGTAGCTTTTATCAACATTAATATTTTAGGTTAAAACCTAATTAACCTAACCTAACAAATAGCACTATTTTTAAATTAGATGAGTTTGTAAGTAACAGAAACCCATATCTTAGGTATGGATTTATTAATTTTTTTCATTTATAAGATATATTCAAGTAATAGCAATTCCAAGAAATTTAAGACGTATTTTAAAGTAAATTCACAGGTTCGTTGTCACTTAACTCGTCAATTTTCATTATTTCACATAACTTGTTTTCTTTGTTGTTTCAGTGGAGGCTTTAAGTAATCCCTTTTGGGTTTTCTGCCTCTCCCTGCACAGTATATGGATTGTACTTTCTTGTTTTTATTGTATACTGTATATTTTATATTTGTGCACATAACTAAACTAAACTAAGATGGAGTAAAGCATTTTACAACTTCCCAAAAGCATTTCATGTTTGACTACTGAAAATACAAGTGCATACGAATACTGTAAATTACTTCTTGACATGAATGCTTGTGTATCGCTCTCATATGAGTATGAGTGAACAGAACATGTCTAGTGTGACGCCATCTATACAGTAGAAGTTTCCCTACACAGGGTTTTTTTGCAGTGATGCCATTGAAGAACCATTTTTGGTTCCGCAAAAGAATTTTACAAAAACACGTTTATAAATATATACTTATTTTTTATTTTCCCACCACAAAATCTGTAATTTTCTGTCACTGTTTTAATGTAGTAAAACACCCACAGGTGTAGCAGAAAACATCTGGGTCATTTTTGCATTTTCTTCTGTCACTAGCATTAAGTCTAATCTTGAAATCAGGATTAGGCTTAAAGGGATCGTCCACCAAGACTACCACAACTACCACTTTGCCGCTTCAAAAAGTTTATAAAGAGATTGTAAAACTAAGGTTTAAATGTGAATAAAAGCCTAAATTCAATCTGTTCATCATATGAAGCGTCAAAGTGGCAGTTGTGTTGCTGTCAATGGAGGGACAGAAATCTCTCAGAACGACATGAGTGCGAGTAAATGATGACAGAATTTTCATTTTTGGGTGAACTATGCCTTTAAAATAATGTCATACATGTAAAAATTAGCTGAGAATTGAACAAATAGCTGTAGCCTGGCTCAGAAGAGTTTGTGTTAGTTTTTCTAGTGATTAAGGGATAATACAAGACTTCTTCACCCAAAAATGCTACGAAATCCACATATTTTGTGAGAAAGTTTGACATGCTTGAGCAAAACAGGCACTATTTTTGGAATCATCACCCCAAAATTAGTAAGAAACAAGGATTTCCTTCAGCACATATGATGCAGAAGTGTGTGCATTTCTGTATTATTCCCTCTGACCTTCGTTTTGGAGTAGTTTCCATTGCCCCAGAGCACGATACCAGAAGCCCCTAGAGCAACGCTCTCTCCAATAGTGTGCACCAAGTCCTCCTGAAAACACAAACAAGTGACATATAAACCACATTTTTGATCAATTCTGTATTTTACCCATTTAATTTTTATTCATAGATCAACTTTATCTGAGCTGACCTGTGAGAGAAACTCCATGGAGTAAGTGTAGGCGATCCTGGCGTAGGGGAAGACAGGTGGTGGGTGATGGGAGATCTGTTCCCTCACTCTCAGGGCCTCCAGGATCCGATGCCGGCTGTAGAGCAAGATATCCCGATCCCGGCCCCGGAGCCCCAGCTCCAGATAGATATCAGGGTACAGGGCCGAGCTGACGTTCCACAGCCAGGCCAGTTTATCATTCCTCTTCATCTCCAGAGCAGGACACTCACCTGTATACGTCCCGTTCTTCTTGTACTGATAATTATAGCAGCCAGGGAAGCCATAAAACCCCCATAATCCTCCAGGGCGCTCTTTGTGGCCCAGCTTTAAAGTGTCCTCCATAAAGGCCCGTGAAGCTTCCTCGAATTCACGCACAGCTTCCGTTTCTATCTGCTCCGGATTCCAGCTAGGATGTTTGGCTTTCACTAAAGTCCTAGAGCCCTTCCAGTACACTTCTTTAGTGTCCCAGTTACGTTCCCACAGCGGCCTCCACTTTTCCCAGTCGACGACGGCCAGCCCGTGAAAGCCACGATCTGGGATGTCTCTCCGCAGGTCGCCATCGGCCTTCCGAAGGTGCTGGTCCAGGCTGGAGTTCTGAGGAACACCTCCATACACCGGTTCACTGCCAAGGCCATAGTAAGGATACTCTCCCAACTTATCAGAGTAGAAAATAGTGATGTTGTCGCCCATGAAGGCCTGGTCTCGGTTGTGCACGATGTCAAAGACGCTTAAGTCCAGATCGACCCCAAATTGAGACATGCAGCGCTCCGTCGGCGCGTTCCATACGGAAAAAAACGGGAGACGAGTGAGGAGAGGGGATGAGATCGGGGGACGGCCGAGAACAGACGCAAAACAGATGCTGAACACCAGCAGAGGACATGTTCCACGCCCAAGCTCGTCCATCCCTGGAAAAGGTGACACGTTGGACCTGCAATGACAGGAACGTGGAACATTTAGCATCCAGCTCCACACCTGATGTTACATGAGCCGAGGCAATTTAAATGGAAATGAAGCCGAGCTACAGTCTAATTTCAAAAGGTAATTTCAATGATGAGAGGCAATTTTTTTGAACAAAGGTATACTTTATCCTGAACAACTCATTATCCATAATAATCATCCACTTCAGGAAACACTACATTAAGTGTGTGTGTGTGTGTGTGTGTGTGTGTGTGTGTGTGTGTGTGTGTGTGTGTGTGTGTGTGTGTGTGTGTGTGTGTGTGTGTGTGTGTGTGTGTGTGTGTGTGTGTGGACCTTTCCCCTGAAACGTGACTTTATAATTGTACATGATTTTTCATTTCATTGGGAAACAGAGGCAGATACATAGATGAAATGGTTCTATGACAATTACATACAAAATAAAAATGTATTATCATTATTCTTTAACATTAATAACATCTTGGGCACATTATATGGTAATACTGTGATATATGAATATTACATTTGTGTTGATATTATGGTACAGTAAAGATTAATATTATGGTATGTATATGATTATATATATTTGTATGTATATGTATCAAAAGCTTTATTACAGACTCAGGGTCCAAATAAAAGCAAGACATAAAATAAAAATATACAACAACAAAAAGAAGAATATATAAATATATTTACCATCATAAATATCCTTACAAAGACAAAAGCACCAAAAATTACTATTTTACCACCATTACACGAATTTTAGTAACTTACTATTACCATCAGTAGTTTTGAAACCAACACGTCCAAAAAAGCGTAGTATTACCATAGAATTTTTATGTTGGTGTTGGTTAGCATGGTAACTTACACAAAACTTGAAGTTAAATACACGCATTAAATTGGCGAGATCTGACAAGCAGTGTTTAGACGTTTATGACAATTAGAAGAATGGTGGTGACCTATTTTGTTGTTCAGAACTAAAAAGAGGAACCATGACTTTACGCAAGAAAACCGTCAAACACAGAGAATGTACATTTTGACGCTCCGTGAATATTAATAAATGCACGCAATCATATCAGCTAGACATATAATATCGTACTTACTTATTCAGTAAAACTTTATGAATCACTCACGAAATATCAAATGGTTTCAGCTTCACTCGTGACTTAAAAATCTCCAAATGGGAAAAGAGGGCGTGGTCTAAGGAGGAGCGTTCACACCGGCGGCGTTAAAGGGATAGTTCACCTAAAAATGAAAATTCTGTCATTAATTACTACTCACCCTCCTTCGTTCGTCTTCGGAACAAAAATGAAGATCTCTTTGATGATATCTGAGAGATTTCTCCCTCCATTGACAGCTATGCAACTACAACTTAGATGCTTCAAAAAGTTCATAAAGAGAGATCGTAAAACTAACGTGGTTTAGTCCAAATTATCTTAGACACGATCGCTTTTATTCACATATAAACATGCATCAACACACATCAGTTGTGGTAAACAGAAGCTCTTTGAGCTCATGCAGGAACCAATGAGGTTTGTTCTCGCGCGTCAAGCAGATTTAATTTAGCAACCTAAATTAAATCTGTTCTTCATATAACGCGATCATGTCTCTTCAGAAAATTTGGGCTGAACTGCTCAATTCATATGGATTAGTTTTACGATCTCTTTATGAACTTTTTGAAGTGTCAAATTGGTAGCTTGGTAAATATATGAACTGCATGATCAGCATCTTTATAAAGGTTGTTTTTTTCGTGTAGATAGTGTGACATTTATGGTCATGTGACTCACAGCATTTCAAGATCAAGACTTAAATTCTCAAAAATAAGGAAGCAATTTCAGAATCTGTGATCCTAATACTCAGAAAAAACACCCTTCATAGTTCATACAAGCAAAGAGCTACAATTAACAATGAGGAACCAACATTATTTGTGGGTAACACCATAAAACACCACAGCTGCATGCAAAGCTGAACAACTGAAGTCATTTCTAGAGATTAAAGACTAACAAACATGCCATATTTCATATAGCTTCCTACTGGTAATGTCTATTTTGAGTAGACGTTCACAGAGTTAAAAGCACCATATAACTTTGTGGTTAGTAAACCCTGTAATTTGGGCTGGTCCTCCAGATCCAAGGGTTGGAGTCTCATACATGTCTCCTCTTTTAGTTCTTTTACTCAGTAAAAGTTCCACTAACTGAGAAACACTGAATGGTCACTGACTGTGAACTGTTGAGGCAGCGATAACCGTGAAAAGATATGAACACTCTTTAAAATGAATCCACAATGTTACCAGTCACATTTGTTTAATCAAAAGCAGAAATCATTTTGATCAAATATAATACTGTTACTGTCTGTGCATCACAATTTCAGAAAATCTAATTCGCAAAAATGCCACAGTTCAAAGATGTAATGCAAATGCTTCTCACACAGTCCAGTGCTTGTGCCTTTTTCATATATAAATATGACAGCGGTCACATAACTCTCATTACCATATAATCACCTCTACAACACTGACAGAGATGCTGAACGAAGCAAAAAGTGTGCATAAATGCTGATTCGGCAACCGTTCAATTAGTTCATGAAACAGTCAAAATAAAGAGGATGTTATCCAAAGTTGCAAAATATTTTTAAATAACAGGATATAAATAACTCAGTTCTTGAGTAACTTCTTTGTTTATTTTAAGGGTTTTTGATAGGACAGGACAGGAAACAGGGTTGTGATGAGGAAATGACATACGAGCCAGATTTAAACTCAGGTCAGTTATATGTGTCCACATTTCCAGCACTAGTAGTCTCATATTAACGATTATTAAAAGTGATTCACACAACTCATGCACTATATTTCAAGCCTTCTTAAGTCATTCAGGAAAAAAAAAAAGAAATATAAATGAATATTAATTTAAAGAGGCCATGTGATGCTATTTTAAAAGGTCATTATTTTTTTTATTAGAACAGGTTAACATACTTTAATGTTAAAAATATATATATATTCACGTACCCACCCCCTTTTTCAGGTTCAGGAAGTATTTTTTTCCATTCAGTTTTCCCATAGTTTTTTTTTTTTTTAAAGTCTACGTTAATGTGTTAAGCCATGAGGTGAAACACAACACTACAAACTTCAATTTTGAAGCAAAAAAACAATCAGACAAAAAGACAAAGGTACAAGACGTGTGTATTTAACGGCCTGTAGTTGTCTTTGGGTGGGTATGATATTTCAAATTGCGAGATGTTTGCAGAAGCAATATCGGCATTTTAGGCCGGTCTGGAGCAATGTTCTCTGTTGGAATAAATCCTATCTGTGGGAGACTATGAACTTGAACAGATACATTACACACTAAAGGAAAAGGAAAAACATTAAAAAGCATCAAATGGCCTCTTTAATATTGAATAGACAGAATTTTCATTTTAGGATGAACTGTCTATTTAAGGCTTGCTCAAATCCACTAGTTTGCACATACAAATCCACCCATTGGTGTAAGTACATTTGATGTTTGCACACTACATTGTAGTGTTAGATAACCAGCATCTTTATAGTCACATGTCTTAAATTCACACTCAAACCAAGACGGATTAATAAAACCAGATGTCCACCTATTCAAATTGTTTGATGATCGGTGACTCAAATAAAGACTCAACTATCTGAGTTTCAAATAAAACGTCTTCTGAATGAATCCACTATCAGATAGTCATACATTTTCATGAGATTTTCCTGTTGCACAATATCCTACATCTGGCTCAAAGGGTGTGCGAGAAACGTGTGACAACAAACAAAAGTGCTTATTTAAACTCCAAGGAACTTTTGAGTTTCCTGTGTTTATACTTATAAATTTCAATTTCAAGCTCACCCACATGACTTCATGAAAGCGAGGGACCTTTTCAGAACAGCATTTGGAGCGACAAACATTTCATAAGCAAGAAAACGGGTGTCAGTTGAGGTGTGTTCAGGTCAGTAAATGAAGCAGCAATGGACTGAGAAGGTAAATCCATATTGCTTTTAGTGCATGTCCGTGTCCCCGCTGCTGAAGAGGGTCCTCGAGGTCACATCTCTCGCCCTGATACCCACTATAACACTGGCACTGAAAGTCTTCACTCATCCGCCGCCGCTCTTCCACGCTCACTCCTCCCTTCACGTGCAGTTCACTGCCCTGGCCAACTATTGTGTGCGTCTGTGGGTCAAGATGGAGATACGTGTCTGTGTCCTGATGTCTGCGCAGACACCGGCCGTGGAAACTGCACAAGAAGCGACTGCACTGCTCGGCTGCTGTGGAGACGTTGAGGAGGTATCGGCCCAGTGGACCCCGCAAGAACTGGTTTATACTGGAACAACTGGCCTGAATGATGAAAAAGAGAAAGAGAACGAAATTATGTCAAGTAAAAATAGAGTTTTCCATTGCAAAACTGCCATGTTGCTACTGTATGTGGTTGGCAGGGTGTTGCAGACACTTTAATGTGTTTCTAAGGTGTTGTGGGTGGTTTCCAGGGCGTTGCTAAGGTGTTGTAGGCATTTTAGTGTTGCTATGCAGTAATTAGTCTGTCTACAAATAAATCATTTATGACTGTGGCAAAAACAGCAAAGGACAACTTATGTGCCAAAGTTTAAATCACCAATCATAACCATGTAAACTTGACATAATAATAATAGTCAGAAATCTTAAAACAAAAACAAAAAAAAAGTCTGCACATGCGTTTCATGTTTTGTATCCTATTTGATACATCAGGGCATAAAACCATATAGTATGATATGAGAATATGGAGCTCAAAAAACAAACGTATGCAATTTGGTGCAGATGTTATTTATACAGTCAAAAAGTAAGATGAACTTTTAATAGCTTGTAATGTAAATCAATAGAATCTTTATAACAGTATAACAGACTTACATAAAATGCTTATACATTTTAGTCTTCACTCTACATCTCCCAATAACATTAGTAAAATGATATTTAAATGCTTAGTTTTATGATCAAAGCTCTGTAGTTTTTATTATGGAGAGCAAAACATAATATAATGCAATGCATTGCAATAATGATTGAGACATGAACATAAACGTTCCTCGAAAGCATGATGGCTAGGGGTGGGAGATATTGACAAAAATGAATATCTCGATATTTTTTTCCAATATCTCGATATCGATATTCAGACGATATTTTTGCAATCCTTCAAAGAAATGTGTGCAAACTGGCAAAGAAGGTCCAGTTGGTCTTTTGACTTGCTCCATTTTACCTATCATTGTATAGAATTACTAGTACATAAAGATATGAGACAATTGATTTAAACATGAACCAAGTTACTGTGCTAAATATTTATTGTAATACAAGAACAGTGCTTTTTCAGTACAATATATGTACGTATTAAATTTACTTTGTGCTTTGCAAATAGGTAGTTGACAAAATTCACGGTTCGGTTCGATACGATACAGTGATGTATGTTTTCGATACAGCAAAAAGAAAGAAATAACAGATACATTTCCTATTTATTAAAAGAAAAAATATTTTTAAATAAGTGTGAGGTTTTTTTACATCTTGAAACCTTTAGTTTTATAAATGGGGGTCATATTTGAAGGATGAACAAATAATGTTTTGGTCATCATCACATTAAAAATAACTTTCAAATATGATAATATTTGAGTTTTGAAGTGCTGGAAAAAGATGTGTGATGTAGGCCTACCTGAAAGCATTTGACTATTTCTGCCAAACTTCCATGGTTACAGTTAGTGTTACTATATTAAACCCATGGTGAATGTTGCTGATCTGTGAACGTAAATTTGCCTATAACTAGTTCATTCCTGGCAAAATGTTTCTCCTGGTTTCCACGCAGTGCCGCTGCTAGCCATTTTGGTGCCCTAAGCATAATTCATTTATGATGCCCCCCCCGCCCCCCCTAAAAAAAAAACATTTTCATTTAGGATTTTCATTTTGGGGGGCTAAGCCCCCAATGAGGGTATGATTTATAAAAAAAATAAAAAGCTAAAAAGTAACACTTTAGATTAGGGTCTAATGTTTACTATTAACTAGTTTCATTACCATGCAATGGCATGGTTTTATAATCACTGGGATCCCGAATTTGAGGCAGGTTAGTTAGGGGTGTTCGGGGGAAATTTTGGATTTTTCTGAACTACAGATGTGCATTTTAAGATGTTGTGAAGGCAAAAAAAATAATAATAATAATAATTCGATAACAACAGCTTTAAAACCATGTCAGTGTGCAGCTGATTA